GCTATTTTATGGTCTTCCTGTTCTCTCCCTCTTCCTGCCTTCAGAATATGCTAGTCATTTCTTACTGCTTGTTTCTGCCATGCACATCATGCTTTCTGAGAGAATTATGCTAGCTGACCTTGACATCGCTTATAAAATGCTTGCAACATTTTATCAAAATGCTGGAGATCTATATACACCATCAGTATACACTATAAACATGCATTCCTTGGAACACATTGTTGCTGTTGTTCGATTATGGGGCCCACTCTGGTCATATTCCATGTTTGCATTCGAAAACCTCAATGGATATTTAGGAAAGACTTATCATGGAACACATAAAATAGTGTACCAGATGTCTTTTCAAATTCAACTCCATCAATCACTTCCTGATAAGCTGCTACAACTTAGAAAAAATGAATCTGTGGAAGTACAAGCTTATATTGATAAAATTCTGCCTAGCAACTCCAATAGAATGCATCAGATTGACACCAACTGCTATGCAATTGGAACTTTATCTATGCACACACTAACTGATGAGGAAAGATCAGTAGCTACTACATGTGGCTTTATTATACCTAATAGTAATGTCACATGTTTCAGTAGGTTAATGTTACGAAATACTATCTATTACAGCAAGCGGCATAGTAGAAAACAACTTTCTAGACAAAACACTATCTGTTGCTATTCCTTGTCACCTACAGGCACTACTTGTTTTGGAGAAATTATTAGCTTTTATTTGTCTAGTGATTCTTCATTTTGCTTTGTCAGGCCATTTGAAATATCTGAAGCTGATTCTCCTTTAAATAGTGGACATTCCAGTCAAACTGGAACAACAAGTGACTCTGCCATCCGTTTCATTCATCATGTTAGGAGTATACAGTCACTTATTTGCTTGCCATTACAGAACATTATGCAAAAATGCATTTACATTAACATTCGACTTAAAAGCCAACACATTACATACATAATAGCATGTCCTAATTCTTATGAGTTCCATTAATTTTTATAAAAACACATCTAATAAATAACTATCTATTTGTAAATGAGTATTATAAAATTAACTTTGTTTATACTCATAGCTAGTCTGGTCACGGCTAACTCATAGCATCCTCTCTGCCCCGGCCTGAAATTCAGCTTGATATCTTGTCACTGACCATATCTGAGTTTAGGACAATTGATCAGCTGTCATAAGATCTTGTCATGATCTTACTTTGACACTGATTTTTTGGATGAAACATGATCGATCTTATAATATGCTTAATTAAAATGTCATAAGATATATCTTATCTTACTTCGCCTTACAAAAACTTGTAGGATCATGCCTGTTCTTAGTAAGATTTATTTGCTGGGGAGATGTGATAGGAGAGGTAATGAGTGTTTATAAAGAATCCTGTCCCAGTCTAGAGGTAAAAGAGTTAGTTATTGATCCTAAAGAACTAGCCTATCCTGTGAATACACCAAGAGAAAGGACAGTGTATAGTGTAAAAGATATACTGTCTGCTATTGACAAGAGAGAAGAGTTTTTAGTTAAGTGTGATGGTACTAAAGGTGAAAAGGTGAAGGA